TCGGGCGCCGCCAGCGCGGCCGGCGGGAGACGCTCGAGAGGCGCTGCGCTCCTCCTCCTCCTCCTCCTCCTCCTCATCATCATCATCATCATCCTGCCCCCCCCCTGCTCCCCCTCCTTCTCCTCCTCCTTCTCCTCCTGCTCCTCCTCCTTCCCATCCTTCCCCACCCCCCTCCTCCCTCATCCGCCTCCTCTACCCTTCCTCTTCCCTCCCACTCCTCCTCTTCCATCTCCGCCTCCTACCCCCCCCGGCTCTCATCTTCGTCGTCTTCAGTGTCGGCGGCACCGGCCGTAAGGCTTTCGCAAAATGTTTCTATAGGTCGATAGATAGATATATATATGTAGATATATAGATAGATATATATATATATAGATATATAGATCGATATATATATATATATAGATATCTATATAGATATATAGATAGATAGATAGATAGATAGATAGATAGATAGATAGATAGATAGATAGATAGATAGATATATAGATAGATAGATAGATAGATATATAGATAGATAGATAGATAGGTAGATAGATATATAGATAGATAGATAGATAGATAGATAGATATAAACATACATATATATAGATATATCGATATATAGATAGATAGATATATATAGATAGATATATCGATAGATAGATAGATATATAGATACATATATATATATATACATATATATATAGATAGCTATATATAGCTATATATACATATATATATAGATAGATAGATAGATAAATCTATAGATCTATAGTAAGGTAGATATATAGATTTTTATATATATATATATAGATAGATAGATAGATAGATAGATAGATAGATAGATAGATAGATATATAGATATATATATATATATATATATAGATATATAGATATATAGATATATAGATAGATATATAGATAGATAGATAGATATATAGATAGATATATATATATATATAGATAGATAGATAGATAGATAGATAGCTGTGTGTATGTATGTATGTATGTATGTATGTGACATGTTTTCCTGCTGCTGGAGTTGGCGAGCATCGTTGTGGCATTGCTAACTTCGCTTTTCCTTCGTGCAGCTGTGTGGGCATGCAGCTGCTTCTCAAGCCGCTGCGGAAGGCACATATCCCAAGCAGCTCGCCTCTCTGGACGGCCTCATGATGGGCCGATCTACGGCAATGCGTGGTGAGCATGGAGCTATTCGTTGTGGGTACACCGGTCGCAGCCAGGACGCCTTGAAACCTCCTCCACCCGACCTCTCCTGGTACCCTTTCTGACCACGACTCCGAGGCGAACCAGGCCGTGGCGACGAGGGCCACCGCAGAGGCCAAACAGCATAGAAAACACCCAATGACTTTGCTTCGAGCGATCCCCGCCCGAGAATGCGAGACGGGATCCCCAGGGAACACTGGCACCCTTGGTACCTGGCGGCCGCGGCATGCAGTCGACATTCGTCGAAGACCCGAGATGGGAGACCCAGGGAGCACCCGCACGCTTGGGGCCTGGCGGCCACAGCGTCCAGGGTGTGCGAGGTGGATCGGAAGCTGCTCTCTTCAAACCTGACAAGCCCAACCTGTCGGGTGGGGAACACACCTCCTCTCCACCAAAATCCGGCGTCGTGAACAAAAAGCGTCGCGAACAAATCACGACCCAAAACCTCGGACCCATCTCTTGTGCGCGGGATATTTCGGCGCAGATCGATCCGTGAGTTTCTGTGGGTCCGAAGCCAGGCAAGAAAAAGCCCGTCGTTCCTTTCTCGACCTTCGGATCTGCGGGCCCCCATCCTCAACTCGGTGATTGCATCGTCGATAGATCGGCGATGCTCCTTGATAGCAGAATCCCGCGTTCCTGCGCGGGGACCCGCGTTCCTGCGCGGGGACCAGGCCTCGATTGGCTATGGATGGGCAACGCAGAATTCGATGATATCGAATCGGATCGATCGGATCGAAATGGACCCTGGGAGGGCTCTGCGGGGTACGCTCTCCTCCTCCAGCTCCGCCTCTCCTCAGTGTCCTGCTTCCCCTCCGCTTCCCCCTTCTCCTCCAGTCACGCAGGTCGTGGATTGAGAGACAGACGACTTCTAGCCGCTCCCGCAAATCGGTGACATTAGGCTGGCACTGCCTTGTGCCCACGCGCTGCGGCGTATGGCAGTTTGTTCGTTCGGCATCCCCAGATCGCTCTCGACGAGGCGCAGCTCATGATAACAACCCCAGGCCACGAACAGCGTACACAACTTTCAAAGACGAAAGACGGAGTTGACATAAACTTCCAAATGCCCGCGCGGATTGTTTGGATCGGCACTAACTACCCCTCCGAGCGCCAGGGGCGGCGGCGGGGGGCCCAGCGCCGCTTCAAGGAAACCGCGCGGACCTCAAACAACGTATGTGTATCACACCTTTTCGATGAGACGACGACGAAGGCAACAACCCCATCTGCGCGTGATGCAACCGAGGGGCAAAGGGGTGGGCATGCAACAAGCAGGTCTTGAGGAAAACGGGTCATGTACCCCCCTGGGCCTTACCCAAAATACACAAGGTCTTCCTCAACACTGCGTTGACGGTCCTGGGGCGCATGGAGGGCTCCAATGGCCTCAAACCAAAACAAACTCAAGGACGCGTTTCCCTCCGGCCTCGTTCCCCTTCGTTCGGAAAACAACAATTGACACGCGTGCCCTGGCTCTTGCACAAAGGAGCTGGGGCTCAGGCTCAGGGGGGGGCCGAGGGGGACGAACCACGACGAACCACGAACAACGACGAAAATAAGGATGTCCGCGGCCCAGGGGGGCTGCCCTGGGAAGCCTGGGCGGAGGGGGGGTCCCCAAGGGGGGGGGGGGCCCAGGGGAGCTGGGGCTCAGGCTTTGGGGGGGGGCCGAGGGGGACGAACACGACGAACCACGAACCACGACGAAAATAAGGATGTCCAAGGCCAGGGGGGCTGCCCTGGGAAGCCTGGACGGAGGGTCCCCAAGGGGGGTGGGTGGCCCAGGGGAGCTGGGGCTCAGGCTCAGGGGAGGGGCCGAGGGGGACGAACCACCACGAACCACGAACCACGACGAAAATAAGGATGTCCGCGGCCCAGGGGGGCTGTCCTGGGAAGCCTGGACGGAGGGGGCCTCTCGAAGGGTGGGTGGCCCAGGGGAGCTGGGGCTCAGCGCTCAGGGGAGGGGCCGAGGGGGACGAACCACCACGAACCACGAACCACGACGAAAAAAAGGATGTCCGCGGCCCAGGGGGGCTGCCCTGGGAAGCCTGGACGGAGGGGGCTCCAAGGGGGGGTGGCCCAAGGGAGCTGGGGCCCAGGCTCAGGGAAGGGCCGAGGGGGACGAACACGACGAAACCACGAACACGACGAAAACAAGGAATGTCGCGGCCAGGGGGCTGCCCTGGGAAGCCTGGGCGGAGGGGGGGGTCCCAAGGGGGGTGGCCCAGGGGAGCTGGGGCTCAGGTTTAGGGGGGGGGGCGAGGCGGACAAACCACGACGAACCACGAACCACGACGAAAATAAGGATGTCCGCGGCCAGGGGGGCTGCCCTGGGAAGCCTGGACGGAGGGGGTCCCAAGGGGGGGTGGCCCAGGGGAGCTGGGGCTCAGGCTCAGGCTCAGGGAAGGGGCCGAGGGGGATGAACCACGACGAACCACGAACCACGACGAAAATAAGGATGTCCGCGGCCCAGGGGGGCTGCCCTGGGAAGCCTGGGCGGAGGGGGGGTCCCAAGAGGGGAAGGCCCAGGGGAGCTGGGGCCCAGGCTCAAGGGGGGGGCCGAGGGGCACGAACCACTACCAACCACGAACCACGACGAGAACAAGTGGCACGCGTGCCCTGGCACTTACACAAAGGAGCTGGGGCTCAGGCTCAGGGGGGGGCGAGGGGGACGAACCACGACGAACCACGAACCACGACGAAAATAAGGATGTCCGCGGCCCAGGGGGGCTGCCCTGGGAAGCCTGGACGGAGGGGGGGTCCCAAGGGGGGGTGGCCCAGGGGAGTGGGGCTCTCAGGCTCAGGGGGGGGGGGGGGAGGGGGACGAACCACTACAACCACGAAACCACGACGAAAATAAGGATGTCCGCGGCCCAGGGGGGCTGCCCTGGGAAGCCTGGGCGGAGGGGGGTTCCCAAGGGGTGGGTGGCCCAGGGGAGCTGGGGCTCAGGCTCAGGGGGTGGCCGAGGGGGACGAACCACGACGAACCACGCACCACGACGAAAACAAGGATGTCCGCGGCCCAGGGGGGCTGCCCTGGGAAGCCTGGACGGAAGGGGGGTCTCAATGGGGGGGTGGCCCAAGGGAGCTGGGGCTCAGACTCGGGGGGGGGGGGGAGAAATACAAAACACAACAAACCACAAACCGCGACAACAATAATGATGTCCGCGGCCCAAGGGGGCTGCCCTGGGAAGCCTGGACGGAGGGGGGTCCCAAGGGGGGGTGGCCCAGGGGAGCTGGGGCTCAGGCTCAGGGGGGGAGGGGCGAGGGGGACGAACCACCACGAACCACGAACCACGACGAGCATAAAGATGTCCGAGCTCTAGAGCATAGCTGTGCAAGAGAATAAAGATGTCCGAGCTCTAGAGCACAGCTGTGCCAGATACTTAAATAACATAGTGAACATAAACTTTCGGAGGTCCGTGCGGACTTCTTGGATCGGCGCTGGACCCCCCTCCCTGGCGCGCTCCGCCCGCACGCCAGGAGCGGCGCCACGGGCCACGGGCCGCAAGGTTTGTAGGACGAGAACGATGCATGATGGGGTTGGCTCAGGACGCCTTCAAGAATTTCCAAGAGCATCCAGCGGCCCTCCTTTCTGAAGCCCGCGTGGAACGTTGGGAGATATTGGGGAACCTGGACACACTTGGAAATATTGGAGCGTATCATGATCATGACCTCTTGCGCCTCTGAGCTTGACCCTCGACCCATGGCGACGGAGGTCTTGTGCGCGCCGCTGGACTCCGCCGCCCTCCTGATGCTGGGCCAGCCCGCTCCGCTCCGCCGCCCTCCCCCGCCGCCAGGCGTGGGTCCTCGCGAACCACCGCGCGCAGAGGGCCCAGCGGTGCACCGTGAAGGCGAGCAGATGCTGGTGCCTCGTCGCCCGAGGGGGGCGATCATTTCCACAGAGTGGGCACATTACGATTGTCGACCTCGACCCCCCACGATTTCCTGCTCGATCCTCGATCTCCTCCCTTCTCATCGATTATCGATCCTTCTCCACCTTGGATTTCCTGCTCGATCCTCGATCTCCTCCCTCCTCCTCGAACCTCGAACCTCGATTACCAGGAGGAGGAGGCGCGACGAGGAGGAGGACGAGGGGCGCATCCTTCGTCGACGCTGAGCTTCGTGAGGTGCCCCCAGCAGAAGAGGAAAAAACGCCATACACATAAACCGTTGGCGCTCCACGGGTATTTCTTAGATCTGCGCTGGGCCCCCCCCTTCCTGGCGCGCGGAGCGCGCCAGGGGCGGCGCCGGCGCCGCCCGGGGGGGCCCAGCGCGGATCCTAGAAATCCGCGCGGACCGCCGACAGTTTATGTTTATGGCGTTTTTCTTCTTCGACCCAGGGGACACTGCAGGCGGGCCCATCGGAAGATGAAAAACGATCATGGGAAAACTGCTGGCAGGTCAACTCCTTCTCTCTTTGGCGTGCCTTCTGTATCCTCCCAGAAAGATGGTGATGGGGACCGTTGGCGGGGACCACCGCAGCGCCGCAAGGGAGCAAACATCGAGCTTGCACCGGCGATACCTCGCGGATAGATCGGCGACAGGCCCGCTATCGCGAATCCGCACAATCCTCGGCGGGGCGGGCGATCATGCTCTTGTCGGAGATGAGCGGGCGATTTGGAGCCGATGCATTCCACCCTGAGCCCTGATCGTTCCCGTCGGCCGTCGACGACGACGACGACGGTCGTCGTCGTCGTCGTCGTCGGCCGTCGGCAACGAAAAAGATCGTCGTCGCTGCCAGCATGGCTCTCAGCAACCATCGACGACGACGGCGGCCGACGCCGTCCTCGTCGCCGTCAGCGAGTGACCCGTGACCAAGTCTCGTGCAGCACGAGGGCGGGCAGCTGCCGGTCACCGCCGTCCTCTCTTCGTCGTAGTCGTCCGTCGCCCCTTGAAAAACACTCGCTCGGGGAGAACAAGGGTGACGAGGCCTCTCCCACCCCCCCTGAGTCGCCGCACCTCCTACAAGGGAGTTGTAGGAAAAACACACCGTCCATGATTCCAACCCTCATGTGTGGCATAGATCCTCGCTGTGACATCCGTTGTTGGGTCCTCGCTTGCTCTCCGCAACGCCGCGCGTCTCCCTCCTCTCCCTCTTTCCACCTCTCCCTCTCCTCCACAACCACTGCCCTTACTCTCCGTATGTCCACGTCTGCACACTCCTACCAAGGACAGCCCGTTAGATAAGCTCCGAGCTCTGCAAATGCAGCTACACAAACTGTATACAACCGGCAACTTCCGCGCACGGACCCAACTACACACTGAAAAGCTTGTCAGGCCCCTATATGCCGCCACGCTGGTTCCGGGCAGGCTGCGCTGTCCGGCGGAAGGGGACGAGGAGGGGAGAAGCAGGCAGACGACGACGAACGCCCAGGCGGGAGGCCAGGGCCGGCGGGGCGGGCTCCACAAGTGGCCTCGGTGGGAAAATCCGCATGGCAGGACGGCACCGCGCCCATTTCGGCGCAACCCTCGCGACGATCGTGGCCTTACAGGGAGCTCCACCGAAGGCCCTGGTGGGGAACTGCGCACGGCGGCACCGCGCCCATGTCGGCGCATTCCTCACGAAGATGGTGGCCCCATAGGGAGCTCCACGAACGGCCCCGGTGAAAAAGTCCGCACGGCGGCAGCCCCCATGCCGGCATGCCACTGACGAGGATCGTGCCCCCTATTGGGAGCTCCACGAACGGCCTCAATGGAAAGTCCGCTTGGCGAAACCGTACCAATTTCGGCACACACGCAACGAGGACCACATAGGGACCTCCACCTACGGCCCCAGCGAGGAAGTCCTTATGGCCCATGTGGGCACACCCCTCACGATGACGCTGTAGGGAGCTGCACCTACGGCCCTAATGGGAAAGCCCACACGGCGGCACCGCGCGCATTTCGGCGCACTCCTCACGAGGACCGTGCCCACAGAGGGAGCTCCACCGACTACCCTGGTGGGGAAGCCCGCACGGCGGCCCCGCGACCATGTTGGAACACCCAAAGAGGGTGTTCCAAAAGGCCCCCAAGCGGCCTCCAAGAGGACCACAAGAGGCTCCCAGGAGGCCCCACAACGACTTGACTGCGCGTGCTCTGGACGTGCACCCCGCGAACCGAGAGGAATCCACGCTAGCCAGCGTGAACCCCTAAACTGGGGCATTGCACTGTTGATGGGGAAACTATCTGGTGTAAGCTATGTCAACCTATGCGGCGTGAACTACGGAAATGGAGACTATACGGTGTGAACTATGTGGTGCAAGCTATGCCATGTAAGCTACGCGGTGTGACCTGGAGGCGGACGCAATGAGATACACGCCATGTGATATATTGCATCACGCAATTGCGGATAAGAATGACGGGGCGAGCGCGGCCGACGCGGCCGTCGAGGCGGAAGACTTCCTGGCCCTCGCCTTCGCCTGATCCTCGGCACTCTCGCGTGTTTCCGTTTACTCCCAATCCTCTTCCTCGTCCTCCTCCTCGTCCTCCTCCTCCTCCTCCTCCTCGTCGTCCTCCTCCTGCTCCTGCTCCTCTTCCTGCCCGGGGTGGGTCGCGGGTGGGTCGTGGATGGGTTGCGGGTGGGTCGCGGGGTTGGTTGCGGATGGGCCGCGGGGTGGGTCGCGCGGTCGGTAGCAGGTGGGTCGCGGGGTGTGCCGCGGGGTGGGTCGCAGGTGGGTCGGGGGTGGGTCGCGGGGTGTGCCGCGGGGTGGGTCGCGGGGTGGGTCGCGAAGTGGGTCGCGGGGTGGGTCGCGGTTGAGTCGCGGGGTGTCGCGGTGTGGGTCGCAGGGTGGGCCGCGGGGTGGGTCGAGGGTTGGTCGACGGGTGTGTCGCGGGTGTGTCGCGGGTGGGTCGAGGGTGAGATCGCGGATGGGCCGCGGGTGGGCCGCGAATGGGTCGCGGGGTGGGTCGAGGGTGAGGCGCGGGGTAGGTCGCGGGGTGGGTCGCGGGGTGGGTCGCGGGTGTGTCGCGGGGTGGGCCGAAGGTGGGACGACGACAACAAAACAACAAGAATCCGCCTCGCGGGAACCCACTTCAGCCACGCACCCGGTGGACAGTGTAAGACCGTTCGGCCCCCCCACTCTGAAAAGCTATGTTGCGTTAATAGTCAATTCTGTGGTGTACGCTATGTGGGGCACCCACAAGGCGGCGCGGGCGGCAACCTAGCGCAATCTCATCATTCCTCCCCAAGCGCGGGGCGCCCACGAGGCGCCCACGAAGCGGCAAGGGCCCGCAACGTGGCAACCACCTCGGAATACCCCCACCCCCAAACGCAGGGGCGCCCACGAGGCGCCCATGAGGCGGCACGGCCCCTCGGCATCCCCGCCCAATGGCTCACAGTGGGGGGCGATCCACAAGAAACCCACCGCAAGAAACCCAGCCCTGAAATCCGCCGAGGTTTTTTGGTCCAGGGTTCGGTTTCTTTGCACGTCGACTGCAAACGAAGAAACCCAGGGCACCCTGGCCCGAGCGGTCTCTTGACTGCTGGCGCCAAGCAATGTGACATCGAGATTCCCAAGAACTCAAGAATGCAAGATTCGGGCCTGGCACAAACAAAACAGAAAGGCGACGACTTCTCCTCTGGGAAGAATAGCTGTGTGCCCATTTAACGCAGGCCAGGGGGTGGGGGGGGCGAAAGCCCCGCAGCTGGACGCGCGGCACCATGGGAACAGCCAGAGTGGCGGGCGACAAAACCCAAGGTAACCTTGAATACCTTCTAGTTTCTTCGGCTTTTGGGCGCGCGCCCCGCATTCGCCAGCGGTCAGGAATCCACGGGAGGACTGGCGAACCCACGGGAAGAACAAAAGGAGGGGCGGGCGAAGGAACCCACGGGATCCTGAATCTGAATGCGTGTCCGTTTCTTGGGCTTTCGGGCATGCGCCCCGAAATGCGCCAGCGCCCACTTGACAGACTGGCGAACCCCCGCGAATGGATGGGCAATGCGTAACGAACAACCCGAGTGGCGGGCGAAGAAACCCAAGGTACCCCGACTGCCAGGAAGCTTCTTGGAGGCTCGGGCGCGCGCTAAAACTGACCGACGCCCAAGAAACCCAAGCACCCTGGCATTTGCAATTTCTTTGAAATTGCGCCGACCTTCCGCGCCGAACGCCAGACAAAGAAACCCAGGGAACCCCGACGAAACGTAATTAGGGTGTTTCTTGTCATGGCCCCCCACTGTAAGGAGGATAACCAACTACCCCTTACGTTAGCCCTGAAACTATCGAAAGGGATGACCCCCTCCCGTCCTCTCTCTGGGGGGGGTGGCGGGGGAACAGCGCTCCCGGCTGCGAAAGATCTAATGCTCTTCCCCCGAGGCTGCGGTGGCTACGGATCATCGGCGGTTCAGCTTTTGCTGCTGACTGCTATGACTCGCGTGATGTCGAGAGACGTGGCACCGGCGATCTTGGGCCGCTCGCGAATCTGAGATTATTGCCCCCAACGATTTGTGTGTTTGAAAACCTTGGCCTCCTCACGCACTGTTCGGGGGATATCGCTGGCGAAATCGGGGCAGCTGCTGTCTCAGGTTCGTCAGAAGCCAGCTCCGTCAGCACGATTAAAGGCTTTCAAGCCCGATCAAGGGGCCATTGAGCAAATCTAGGCCGGATTGAACTTGGTATTAAGCCGTACGAAGCGGGATTGAACCAGATTGAGCGGGACTGAGCCGGACTGAGAGGCATTAACAAAGCCAGATGCTGCCCGTTTTCGACCAGGGATATACCAGCGCCGATTCTGAACTTAACCTCCCAGGAATTGCATCCTAAAGGTCGCCTCGAGCGGTGCCGGTCGTCGTCCCCCCCGCGCCCCCCCCCGTGACCCCCCAGTGTCCCCTCCCGCGACTCACCCCGCGACCCAGGCGCGACCCACGCGCACCCCCCCCGCGACCCACCCGCGCCGCAACTGCGGGGTGCTACGGTCGGGAACTTTTGCTTAGCGTGTCGCGGCGGCGGTCCCGGCGACACGCTAAGCCCCTCGAGAAGATGGATAGAATGTCGCTCCGCTCTGCGGGGCGGGAGACTCGGAAAGGCTCGGGACACTGGCGCTTGGAAGTGGGGGCACCGCGACAAGCTAAGCAGACATTGCGGATGGTAGTTCTTGGATTCGCATCATCAAGTGCAAGCACTGCAGGGGGGGATCTCGCTGGCGACATCGGGGCAGCTGATTCCGCAGGTCGCCTCGAGCGAGGGTCACCGGTCGGCGCACCTGAGGGAGAGCGGCTGCCTCAGGGCCCTGACAAACGCCGATCTGGTTTCGTCAATCCGCGGCCCCAGAGGTCAGCTTTGGGTAGCTTCTCGTCGTTTTCGGCAGCACCAGGACACGATTACGGCTCCCATAGGCCTAAATCGGGATTCGAAACATCATACCGCTGGAGGTCTGCGGAGCTGCTGCCTCAGGCCGCCTCGAGCGGCGGCGGTCCGCTGTCGGCGGCCGGCGCCGGCAACAGCTGGGCCGGCGCGAGGCGAAACGCTCAGCGGGCCTGTCCGCGCTGCGGCGCCGCAGCGAGCGGGCACCCGCGGCCGTGCCCCGCCAGGCGGCGAGGGCCCAGGAGGCCAGGAGGCGCCGGTGGCGACTCGGGGGGCCGGGCGGGGGGAGGAGGAGCCAAGGTCGAGGGTGCATCCTCCTCCTCCTGCTCCTCCTATTCCTCCTCCTCCCTCCTCCTCCTCCCTCCTCCTCCTCCTCCTCCTCCTCCTCCTCCGCCCCCCTCCCTCCATCCTTCTCGTCCTGCTTATTCTGGCCCCTTCCGTCAAGGTTCGGGCCTCATCCGCCGCTTTCCCATCCGGGTTCGTATCACCATGTCTCGGTGGGGGCCTCTGGAGGCCGAAATCGAACGAAGACCTCCCGTCATGACTTCCCACGGCGCGAGAGTGCCTGTCAAGCCACTGGAGCCGCTCTGGGCACGAGCCGGGCACCCGCGGAACGCCCTCGGCGAGGCGCGGCTGCTGGCCCCGAAGCCCGCGGCCAGAAAAGCTCCCCAGACGTACTGGATGCGTTCGATACGCGCAACTGTCGCCACTTTCGTGGGCTCCTGGGAGTTCCAGCGGAGTGGAAGTGTAAAGGAGACCGCGTTGAGACCTCGCGGCTCCCTGGAGGGGGCTGCGAACTGAGCGGTCGCCACTTTCTGGGCTCCTGGGAGTTCCAGCGGAGTGGAGCTGTGCACGGACCGCGTTGAGACCTCGCGGCTCCCTAGGGAACTAGTTGTGAACGAACTGCGCAATTGCGCCACTTTCGTGGGCTCCAGGGAAGTCCAGCGGAGTTGAGTTGTAAACAGATCCCGCCGAGAACTCGCGGGCCCTGGTGGCTGTGACGTGCGAGAATGTATTCACTTCCGTGAGCGGGGGAAGGAGGACGGAGGAGGTGGGAGGACGAGGAAGGAGGAAGAAGCAGAAGGAGGAGGCGGAATAGAAGGTTGAGGGAGGAGCTGGAGCGGGGGGGGGAGGAAGGAGAGAGGAGGAAGGAAGGAAGGAAGGAGGGAGGAGGGAGGAGGAGGAGCTGGAGGAGGGAGCTGGAGGAGAAGGAGGAGGGACCAGGAGTTTGGATGATTAGGAGAGGAAGGAGGAGGACGAAGGAGGGAGGAGCTGGAGGGGGAGGGAGGAGGAAGGAGAGAGGAGGAAGGAAGTAAGGAGGGAGGAGGGAGGATGGAGGAGGAGGAGCTGGAGCAGGGAGCTGGAGGAGGAGGAGATGGAGCAGGAGGTTGGAGGATTAGGATTCTCGGAGGGGGGTCCTGAGCGGTCCTGATGTTCAGAGCATGTTCGTATGTAATGAGCGGTCCTGATTGTAGTTGCCCAATGTTTAACAAAGAATTGGGTACGTCCCTGAGTAGTCGCTGCCACGGGACGAGGCGCACATTGCGTTACAGTGCATTGCATTGCAGTGCATTGCATTGCGTTGCGTTTCATCGTGTCGCATTGTATTGCGTGGCGTTGCATTGCATTGCGTTGTGTTGCGCTGCATTGCATGGCATTGCTTTGCAGTGTGTCCTGTTCCGTTGCATTGCATTGCATTGCGTTGCACTTGAATTGCGGTTACACTGCATTGCGTTGCAGTAAACTGCGGGCGCGGGGGAGGAGGACAGGGAGGGAGGAGAAGGGAGGAAGGTACAGAGAATTGAGGGGGAACGAGGAGGAGTGAGGAAGGAGGAAGGGGGAGGAGGGCAAAGGGAGTGAAGCGGAGAACGGGCCAACCACCCAGGCAAGCGGGCAACCGACCAACCAACCGCACAACCAACCAACCAACAGACCAACCACCAGCCGACCAACCGGCCAACCAACGAACCAACCGCCCAACCAGTGAACCAGTCAGCCAGCCAGCCAACCAACCAACCAACGAAAGATCCACCTCATCGCCTCGGAAAACATTTGCCCAGAAACCTGTGAGCCAACCAGCCAGCCAAGCAATCCATCAACCAACCGCCCAAGCAATCAACAACCAATCCACCTACCAACCCACTAACCAACCGCCGCCCAACAAACCGAGCAACAAACCACCCTGGGAAACAAATTCTTGACCCCGAACTCGGCGAGCCAAACAACCAACCAACCCACGAACAATATTTCCCAAACAGATGTTTGGAAACCGTTCCACGCCGCGGGGCCGTGACGAAATCTTTGACCCGGAACATGCTCTTGACCCTGCAACGAACAACTCTTTGCCCTTGAATGAACATGTTTTGCAACCCGTCTCCCCCTTCCCCCCTCCCCCCACCCCCTTTGTGCACGCCGCCAACATATTCTGATCCCATCAGGGAGACTTAGATTTGGGCGGCTCGGCAGCGGATCCCAAACTTGGCGCCGCGCAGAGGGGGTAGGGGGAGGGGGGAGGGCTCCTCAGGAGGCTGCTTCTTAGAAGGCGCGGGCCCTACATCTACAGACCAGGCCCGCGCCTTCTAAGAAGCAGGGGTGCGTCTAAGAAGGCGTCCACCCTCCCCCTACCCCCCTCTGCGCGTGGCCGAAAATAGAATAAACTGGTGGCGCTCCGTGCGGATTTCTCTGATCTGCGCTGGACCCCCCTCCCTTGCGCGCGGAGCGCGCCAAGGGCGGCGCCGGAGGCGCCGCTAGGGGGGCCCAGCGCGGATCCAAGAAATCCGCCTGGAGCGCCAAAACACTTTGTGTTTATGCCGTTTGTCTTCTTCCGCGAGCGGCGGCGGCCAGCGGCCGGGAGGCCGCCCCGCTGCGCGGGGGGGGGCTGGCGGTCCTGCCGAGGGCCGCGAGGCACCGGCGGGCGCGGCGTTGCCAGGCGCAGCCCTGCAGCATGGCGGCAAAGGCCCGGCCCAACCTCGGCGGCCCGCCGAGTGGCGGCGGGCAACCGGTTGCGTGGTGTCGAGCAGGGACCGACCGACCTGGTATTCTTGTAGGCCCACCAGGAACAATGTTCTTGGACACACAAGCCCGAAGTGTTGAAACAGGAGTGTCCCAGCCAGAAAGGTTCCAAGAAAATGTCGAGAAAATTTCGTGTAAACCACAAAAGGCTCTTAGAACATTGCTTGGTGGCCATATGTATAAACACGCCAAGACGCTTCGCCACTGCTTGATGGTGCGGTCATGGCATCTCAATCCGTAGCAATCCGCAGGAGCCACCCAGACGGGCGGCGGCGGCCATGAAGCATCAGACTCGACTCAGGCAACTGCACGTGTGCCCGCCTGGCCGGCGGGCAAAGACGAGCAGGATTCGCAGCATTGGCGCAACCAGTCCCCGTGAGAACAGGAAGCCTCAATAACTCCATCTCAAAGAGGCAGGCGCATGGCACCCCAGACTTCTGGACCCATTCCTGGACAGAGCTGTCCCTCTGCGGAATCGTTTTGGCCACGACCCCGGCCTGGCGAGGGACCCCGGAGGCCGAACATGGCCAGAAGCCTCCCGGCGTTATTTGTGCCACGGCGCGATCAGGCCATGGGGCTTGTACAGAACATGAAGGGTGGCCTCCGCACGGGTCGAACATCAAGAGAAGCCAAGAGGAGGAGGACAATTTCGGGTGAGGACACATCGGGAATCTCTGAGATCCGGCGGCTCTGGAGGATGTCTCGGGCTCTGCGGCCTTCTCAGAGCAATCCGACACGCTCTGAGAGCGCTCCAAAACGCTGCTCTGGAACGGATTTGTCCTCGTCCTAGCCCCGTCCGACAATTGGCACCGCCGAGCGTGCCTCCACGACGGGCCAAAATCACAAGATAACCATCAAATGCGACTCGGCATGCCATGAAATCCGACGTCACAAACGAAACCTATGATATCGTGCACAATCACAGTCGGAGCCAAAGACCCAACGTTCAACTGCAGCCTCCGAGCGAAAACGCCCGATGCCCAGGCGAAAGCAAAAAGTACAAGGCCCCGATCTCAGAGTGCAGGGCAGGAGAGGCGGAGGGGGCAGGCGGGGGGAGGCGGGATGTGTGGCGGATTTCAATAGGAGTGGTGGGCCTGGCGCAGAGGAGTCCGCGGGGAGAGGTGCAATAGTACTTGCCTGGATGCAAGGCCTACGCGTTGGATGCAGTGTAGCTGCGCGTGGATGCAGCTGCGTCTCACTGTCACACTCAACATGAGCGTTGCCCGCGCAGCAGTTCGTGCCCCCCCCCCCCCCCGCAATCCTTGAGCGCTTTTGCACGAAAAAGCACACACGTGCCGAACGATTGCACCTCTCGCCTCGACCCATCTGAGCAACGGAAAAAAACGGGGTCTCGCGCGATAAGACATGGCAACCTCAGGCGGTGGCCTACGCAGGCCGCACGCGCGGATCGCCACATACTGGAAACCAAGGCGCTCACGCGCGACCTTACGAGGGCAGCTCACGCGCGAGTGACCGCGTAGCCGAGCCCGTTGTTTTGCGTCGCTCGTTTGCGCCAGACCCCCTTGAGCATCGATCAACCGACCCCTATCCACGTGGGCGTGGCCTGGGACCCACTGGCCGATCTAACCCCCTAGATTCGAGTTTCGAGAGGCTGGTCCCCCACTGTAGGATGGTGGGGATCAGAATGGGGACGCGCATGAGGATAGGGATCGGTTGAACGAATCTGAAGACCCACCGTTCCAGCGTAGAGCTTGGTAGTCCCCAAGCGTGGTGGTGACAACACCAGGCGGTGAGTCTCGGGCGATGTGGTGTCATCACCCCGTTTACCGAGGATGTCTCGAAAACTGGTGGGTCCAAGAGTCACAGAACCCGGCGGTGACCCCGTGCTCCAGAACCCGGCGGTGATTTTGGGGGATTCCAGGTCACCACCTCATATCTCACCACCTGGTTTGGGGAGCTCCCAACGGTTGAGCGATACTGAAGACCCGCCGTTCCAGCGTAGAGCGGAGGAGGCGCGCCGAGCCCAGGAACGGCGCCGCACCGAGCCCGGGGCAAGCGCAGGCCGTTCGTGGCCCGCAGCGCGGCCTCCGTGAGCTCCTGCCTCCGCCGCCTCCGCGCGGAGGCGCGCGCCCCGTGGCGAGCAGGCTTCGCGGGAACGCCGCGCGCTCACCCCCAGACCTCGGACGATGTGTTCTCCTTTCGAAGCGGACAGAACAACCGATGACCTCTAGAGCTGTCAACTCTTGATTCAGGCCCAGGGCCCACTGTGGGGCCCTGGGGCCACCAGCGATGGATCCCGGACGCCAAACTACCCCTGGGGAAAGGGGTCGGGAACTCTGGGTCGCTTCGGAAGATTTCTGGGTCATTCCCCCCTTCTCCCTATCCGAATCCTCTTCCTCCAAGTCCCTCTCCTGCTCCCGCAAACGATTATACGGATGGAGGGCGGGCCGTTTCCAAAACGTGTCCCTCGCTTTGGCGGCGCGCATTCGTGCTTAAGCAACTCAACAATCACACGCGGGCGGAAGGCGAATCGTTTTCGACACGGGGCATTCGCCGTGGCGCCGCGAGCGCTGGTCTTCTTAATGCACAACACTTGCACATATCGGGGAGGTTACTTTTCTAAATGAGGCTCTCGCCTGAGACCCGCTCCACACGTATCACCACAAGTAGAAGAGTGTTCTACGACTGCACAGATGGAGCGCAATTCCTTTCCAGAGCGGGCCTGTCGACGGGCATATCCTTGAACTTTGTGACCCCACCTCGTCATATTCCGTATACAACGGAGGCCAGTCCACAAGAAACCTTCCACAGGAAACCCAGCCCTGAGACCCCAGGACGTCCATTGATTTTTTGGTATTGGAACGTCACGCTTTCCATAACAAAACCATCGAAACCCAAGAAACCCAGGGCACCCTGGAGGCAAGCAAGGTGTTTCTTGGTCTGGGTCTCCACTGTATAGCCTAGCTCAAGTAAGTTCACGTCTGAATTGCGGGCCGCTGTGGCGCTCGTCTTTCACGATGTCGCTTCCCGGAGAGATCGCGAACCCCATCGTCGACCCGTTCCGTGGTTTAGCGCAGGGCGATTCCACAGCACTTGCAGTCATGCATGATTTGTGCATTGACGCCGTGGCAGCCACGCGGACCCTCGGGAAGTGTTGCGGATGATCGATACCTAGTCGCACCATCCCCTGAGGCCCTAAATGATGACCGACCGACCTTCGGACGGCGACGCACTTCGACGTGGACGCCGACTACAAAGAGAACGCTAAAAAAGACAGGGCTGGTCAGATCGTGACCACCCGCCTCGGGAAGTTGAGCATCTGGACAGATTGGCTTGCCCAGCGAATGCGAAATCTGACATGATACCAGGTCAACGTTGGGAGAAAATGATGACGGCCATAGCCATCCTCGGATCAATTCGTGCCGATATGGCCGATATTGCCTTTCCTTGATTACGTCCACTGTGAAAATGGGCCTCGCCCGTCATGGTGCCGCCGCCGGCCTCGGCGGCCGAACTACTGGCGAAAACGATCTGGAGAATGCACACAACTTGGCGGTGCTTGGGGCGTTGGTGATGTCAGAAGATTTGGCTCCATCCTGCGTACTCGCGTGCGCTCTTCGCCTTCAAAATAAATGAGGGGCAAAATATCGGTTTGATCTGCTTTTTCAGAACACTCACTGCAGCGACACGCCACGGAGATAGAACTCAGCTTCATCAGACTATTCGAACAACGTGGGGCCTTGGTGGAAGTTGCTGCGACAGGTGCCCACAGAGTCCTCGAGACAGATGCCAATCTTGTCGATGGTGAGAACAGGTTCTGGACAGGCACGGACGAAACTCCACGCATCATGCTATTGCGCGCATCAGATGCTCACAACCCGAAGTCAGGGGCCGAAAGGATGCACAAGACGTTGACCAGGTCGACGTCGAAGCTTGCGCGGGGGAACAGTTTGCCAACTGGTATCAGTCTCTTGGAGATCGGGCGCGCTTTTGTCTGTAAACTTTTCGGAGTGGTGCTGCTGCGACCGAGACGAGGCGACGTGCAGAACACAATTGTACATTATGTGACGCCTTGAGACCCTCAATGTGACACCTTGCTGTGGAGCGCCCGCGGTTTTTCGAGACCGCCTGACTTGCCAGTGCGCTCTCCCGCCGCACTTCTGGACGTCTCTTCCGACAATTTCGGCCATGAGTGGGCGAATCACGTTCGCAGCTGCCGAGGCTGCGCAAGACCGTTCCAGAATGTTGATCGCACTGTGTTCAATGGGCATTGGCGTGGTGAGCCTGGGTTTAGATGAAATGCTCCATGACGCGGCTCCTCTCCCTCGTGCAGGAGCTCGTCGCGGTTTGATGTGATTTTCAGGTGTGGACCTGCCCCATCATCAGGATGTTCCAATTCCCCCCCTTTCTCTGGCTGGCAACGCGGTCGCGGAGTCTGTGGCCGCGAAGTGGAGCAAGCCGGATCGCTGTCCGCGCCCAAGCCCCGCCGCGGCGGCCGGCGCGCTCTTCTCCGGCGCCGCCAGGCGAGCGGTCGTCGCTTCGCAGGGGCGAGCGGGTGGGTGGCCCGCATGCGATGCGGCTGCTGGGTCCCCGCGCTGGGTGGGTGCCGGCGCCGCCGCCGCGGGCAGCGGGCCTGCTCCTGCTCCCAGCAGCGCGTGCGGGCGGCGCGGAGGCGGCGTGGCGAGACGCGCTCCAGGCTCGCCACGCCGCCTTCTCCCCTCCCAGACTGCCCACGCCACGTTTTCTTCATTGCGTCGACCCCCAGAGGCCTCGACCCACTCCGAGACGCCCGCTTTTCAATCTGAGTAGTTCTTGTTGACAGTCCCGAGGCCCAGTAAGGGCCCGGGGAGGCCGAAAACAGATAAATACCTTCCTTCGTGCTTCGTTCGTGACTCGAGGAGGGCTAAACCCTGAACCCTAACCCCTAAACCCTAAACCCCTAAATCTCTAAACCCCTAAACCCCTAAGATTTGTTGCGATCGATCTCACTATCGATCTCACTATCTATATCACTATCGATCTCTTGATCGATCTCACGATCACGCAATCGATCTCGCTATCGATCTCACTACCGATCTCACAACTGATGTCACGAGCTACCGTCGAGACACCGCGGCGGGACACCGGGAGTCACTGACGGGGCGCAACGCGCAACCGACGGGGCACCCCGCGCCACCGACGCAGCACCCCGCGACACAAACGGGGCACCCCCGTGCCACTGACAGGGCACCCCGACACGCGCCACCGAGGGGACACCCCGCCACCGCGTGCAGGGGGGGGGGCGGAGAGGCGGACAACCGGCTCCACAGCCCCTGGCCACGGCGGCACCATTCCTCCCGCGCGCCCACGCAGCTTCGCCTCGCCCGCACGCACGACACGAACATGAAGCCAAAATCGATGTCCAGGTGGGGGCTCCGTTCCACTCTGATCTCACCCCCAACCTCCGATTGTTGTCATGGCTCGACGGGGACTTGGCTCGGCAGGGGGGGGGGCCTTTCCGCGCCGCGCCGCAGCTCGCTCAGGCGCCCCCGCCGCCGGGCCAGCTCGTCGTCGGAGGCGCGTAGCTGCGATCGCAGGCGCTCCGCCTCGTCGCCGAAGGCGGAGGGGGGGAGCGAGGTATGGGGGAAGAGATGGAGAGAGAGAGAGAGATGGGGTGAGTGAGAGAGAGAGAGAGAGAGAAAACAAAAAAAGAGAGAGAGCGAGATATGAAGAGAGAGAGAGAGAGAGAGAGAAAGCGATAGTACGCAACACAGCGTTCCGAATATCTGCATCCTGAAGGTAGCACGCGGGCACTAGAGGGCCTCACGAGGTTGATGGGAGAGGGGAAGGAGGCGCAGGAGAAGGTGCAGGAGGAGGAATATGAGGAAGGACAAGAGAGAGGAAGGACAAGCTAGGTGCGCTCGCGCAACATCTGACATCCTACTCCTCCCAGCCATGTCTTCCTATTGCGCAGCTGGCCCCCCGAAGACATCATCGTACCGTGCGCAGTTGGATAAAAGTAGCTGTGTACATTGGAGGAGGGGGAGGAGGAGAAAAAGGAGGAGGAAGAGGAGGAGGAGAGGGAAGAAGAGGATGATGAGGAAGAGGAGGAGGAGGAGGAGGAGGAGAGAACGAGGAAACGGAGGAGGAGGAAGAGGAGGAGGAGGAGGCAGGAAGAATGGGAACAGCAGCAGCAGCAGCAGTGGGAGAAGCGGAAGGGGCGAGAGGACCAGAGGAAGGCGGAGGAGGGGAACGGAGCGGGGAGTCCACGAAAGTGGCCCGCGCTGGGGCGAGAGCGGCATTCGGAACGACGAGGGCGAAGCGCCGATCCTGAAATGTGGCGAGAAGAGGAAGCGAGAGGAAAGAGGAAGACGGGGAGGAGGAGGAGGATGAGGAGGAGCCGGAGGAGGAGATGGAGGAGGAGGAAACGGAGGAGGATGAGGAGGAGGAGGAGGGGGGGAAGGAGGAGGAGAGAGGACGACAGAGGAGGACGACAGAGGAGGCCGACAGAGGAGGAGGAGAAGGAGTCAATAGGAAGAGGGGGGAGGAGGAAACGTCAAACGAATGAAGATGGCAAGGCCATCCCGGCAGCTGCGCCCGCAAGCGCTCCTCATGGTCGCCAGCATCGGGCGGGGAAGAGGGGAAGACCGGGGAGACTAAAAGAGAGTCGTTGTATGTTTTTTTTTGGGGGGGGGCGTGAACTTGCCCGACAAAGCCGTCAAACCAATGACGGGCGTAATCCGCCGACCCTCCTTACTGGGATCTCCAAACATTTGCTCCGCAAAAACATCAACGCGGAGTCAACTCGCGCGCGTGCTGCCCGCAGCACAAGTCACATGGAAAGCGATCGCCAAAGAGATACGCAACCCCAACCGAAGGGTGTGGAGGTCGATAATGTGCTTCGCGGCGCCGTACCACCCATGCCGAAGCAGCGACCGAAGAGTACTGTCGCAGCGCAACCCCAGCAGAGACGCCACATGCCCGCGAGGGCAGGCCGACGGCCAACTTAGGAGGGCAGGAGGGAGGAGAGTATTTTTCCAGCGCGACAATAAGCCAAGGAAAAGCAGGATGCTTGAAGTGAGCCAACACATCCTCGAACCTATATACGGTCATGGCTCTGCAATGGCAGGGTGCGCATGTCAAGGAATACCTCTTGAAGGCGGCGCGCGTGTCCAGAGTGAATCGTACAATGGACAATGTAGCTGCAAGTTTGGACTGTGCCTGGGCAGCAGGCGGATATGGTAAGGGATGGGAAGGAAAGGGAGGGAGCATAATAATGGAAGGGAAAACAAAAGGACCGAAACTAACGCAGACACGAGGCCACGGCCGATCTGTTGAAGCGCTGTCAGTGCATCCCAAAACGATTTGGCCGATCATTCATAGAAGCGGGCATCACAGAACAGCAGACACGGAACACCAGCACAGAAACTCGCAGCACGTAGGAGCATACCGCCGAATTGCTAGCATGCCGCAGCTGCGGGACCAGCTGAGGGCGGATGAAGTATACAGAACAAGAGAACAACTCCCACCCAGCGCGCACTTCTGCAGGCCAACCTTACGGCAACGTCTGTTCGCTTGCATTGTCCAACCACGTGTTGGGAGTTGCTCGCGTCCAAAGGGGGGTGCCGCGCAACAAAAACAATCAAACGACCTCCTGAGAAGCAGAGCGAACAGACCAGCACCTTTACAAGCTCAAGGGTGGGCGTGCAAGGCTGAGCACAAAAAGGCCAGGATATGGAGAGGAAGCAATGCCCCACATCCTGGAAGCGATATGCATCGACGGCCTGCTCTCTGGCGCCAGAGGGGAAAGACATGCACGCGTCAGATATCCCCACCCAGCGCACACTTCTGCAGACCAACCTCACGACAATGTTTGTTCGCTTGCATTGTCCAGCCACGCGCTGCGAGGTGCTCGCGTTCAAAAGGGACGCCGTCCAAAAGACAATCAAACGACCTCAAAGCATCTTCCGAAGATCACTCCTGGCCATGAGGCCGTCATGCGCAACAGGGCACGGCGCATTGAGAAGATTCTGCATTCCCGGCAGGCCTTAGCAAGCACCGGCGAGAAATCGGGCGGATAAGGCTAAGCCGCCTTGGCCCAAAAGGCGCCATTCGGCGTCTCCACCTCTAGCGGCTTGCGCGGCCGGCGCGAGGAGGAGCAGGGGCCGCGTGAAGTGAATTTGCGGCGGTCTAGAGCGTCCAAGTTCAGATGCGCATATATTGCCCGAGTCTTCTTCCTCCACGCGGCGCCGAAGGCGCAAAAGTCAAAGTCGACAATTTTCGCGCTGCTCATTCTGACAGCATGTTGTGCCCAACGTGTTTGCCGCACTCACGGTGTCGCGGGGTTCTCGATAGCTGCTGGAAGCCCGCGCTGGGCACGCTCCAAGAAGAGGCTGAACAAGCACCGAGCCAATCGATATCCCACCATCACCTTCAGTGAGTCAACGGAGGACAGGCCAGGCAGTCCAAGCAGGTTATCGCAATCACGCAGTGCCAGGGGCCCGCTGTCTGTTCCGAGCCATCAACCGCGAGCTACATGGCATGCCGAGCCAGACGCCCTGCGATCGATTGCCGCGGAGCCATCCGCGCACCTGGCGCTGTGCGCTCCGCTTGGAGAGGTCAGCCAGCATGGGCTCGTGCTCCACATCGAGCTCGAAGACGCGAGGCGCGAGGCGGGGGGCTAAGCTTCGCCGCAGCGCCCGCGACCAGTTCCCAGAGCCACTGAAGATCTCCAGGTACACCTTCGAGCCGGACGCGTGGGTCCACGAGCTCAATTGCTGCATGGAGCAGCGCCAATAATCACCGCGCTTTGCATGGCCTGAGCAAGCTGCAGGGGCCGCGGGCATTGGAGCTGCAACTGAACTCGCTTTCCCACTGCGTATCTTTCGGGACATCGGTCCGCCTCCCAGCGGCCCCGCTTATTGATGTCGCCGAACTCCCGAGCGTTGGTCAGCATCTTGTGGCTAGCCCCTCCATGACGCAGCTGGCATAGAGCACAGGGGGGGGCCCGGCGCCTTCAGCTGCAGGGCGGCCCCGGCCTGATTGGGCGCGCGAGCCCATCCCCGCATGTCCAGCATGAGCAGAGGCTGCTCGGCGCTGCGGCCGTCCACCAGGCGGTCCAGGACGCGGTCCACCCAGCTGAACTCGGGGTGGTCGTGGTCCAGCAGCAGGCTGACGTCGTGGCCCTCGGTCTTGGATCGCGCCTGCATTTCGGCAGGGAACAGCAGGATGGGGCACTTGCTCAAGTGCCGCGGTCCGGATTTCACCGGCCGCGCGACTGATCTCACTCGGAGCGACAGCAGCTCTGACGGCCAAAGGTCGAGCGCGAACGTCAGGACGACCGCCTTGGCAGCCGCCACAGAGCCGTTCGCCGCCAACCAACTGGCCATCCACGGGGCCACCGACCAGGGCAAGGGCAGTCGCGCCCTCGGTGGAGCCAGCGCCCGCCAGCCCTTCAGCGCCCCCTGCGCGAGGGGGAGGTTGCGCAGCTTCGGCAGCAAGTCGAGCCTGAACTGGGCCACCGCCGCCGCCAGCTTCGCCCCGTGGGGTACGTCGTGCCCGTCGAAGAAGAGCCAATTGAAATGCTCCAGCAACGCCTCCTCCAGGCTCGGGATCGTCTCCACCGGAAGACGGGCGGGCGCCGCCCAGGCCAGGAAGGCGCGGCACCGTGTCTGGTAGTCCAGAACCGTCGGGCCCCCCGCAGCACGCAGCTCCAGGAAAGACCGCTGGCCCGCCCCTCGCTAGCGGACGCCTTCTGGGAATTTCGCCCACCGTCGGCGAGCTCGGGGCGCAAGGTCCAGCGGCTCGGCTGCCTGCGGCCCCGCAGCCGCGAGGGCGGTCCCAGGCGGCGGCGGTCCCCTGGAGGTCGAGGCCCTCCCAACAGGGGCCCCATGGCGCTTCCGCTTCGAGCCCGGGCGGGGGGCCGAAGGGGCGCAGCTGCCGGGGCCCGTCGGGCCCGGCAGCTGAGGCGAGGCTCTCTCCAAGCGCAGCGCTGGCGGCAGGGCCCTATTGGGTGCAATTCGACCACCCGGACGTGCCGTCTTAGGCATGCCCCGCGCCAGGCAGGTTCCCGGTGGCGCGGTTGGCGGAATTCCGCCCGGAGGGCACCCGGCGCCAGAGGAAGGCGGCGCCGCTCACCAGCGAAAGGGCGGCCAGCTGGTGGCGGACTCGGCCCATCTCCCGCCGCGACGAGGGCCCCTTGGTGACCGCGAGAACCACTCCATGCAGTCGCTCAAGCATAAATCGCACGGGGTTGAAGGATGATAGTCGCCGAAGAATGCGGCGCGCAGCCGCGGCCATCCCGCGACCTTCGAGAACGACCTGCTGTTCCGAACGATTCCACCGGCGCGACACGACGGGTCACCATCCCCTCGCCCAGATCTCGTTCGGGATTTCGGGGATCACCAACTGTGGCCCTCTGTCCTCGTTCATCTCCTCCACCTCGGACTCGATCGGGGCCACCCGTTCCTCCTTGCCCTCCTTCCTCCCCTTCGAACTGGACGATCGACTCGGGTGCAGAGGGCGCGCTGGGCGTCTGAGACTTTAGGTTGCGTGAGCGATGCGAAACCTCCGGCTCCTGAGACGTGCTAGATCTCCATCGCTCATTGTATCGCGACAGCTCTAGAGCGACGGCCGACGACGAGGCCCTCTGAGTGACGCCCGCGCCCCGCCGGGACGAATCAACCATTGCGGGCGCGTCATCGAACATACTGCCAGCGCCCCGACAACAGAATACGACCATGTTTGAACACCATCGCAATTCTCGAAGACAAAAGAGCCATGGCCTCGCTGCGCGCCCACCGCACTGCGAGGCAGAAGCGCGCAGAGAAATGATACAGGACGAAAGCTCTCGACGGATCAGAGCACGTGAAGTGCAGCGCGATACCGCGCGGGCGATGGTTTTGCCGGGCCCGAAGCCTCTCCGGCGCAACTCCAGAAAAGCCAGCCTCAATATCCACCGCAGAGCAGGGCTCAAGCAGATGATCGGGGACTTCTCATCGAACTGCCAGCCCGGCGCCGCGGCCCCAAAGCTGCGCTCAACTCCGTGGGTCGGCAAGCCCGCTGCCTTGAGCTGAGCGCCCGCGTCCCGGGCAGCAGCGCGAGCGACTTCCTGGTTCGTCGACAAGCTGAGCGCATTGTCCACATGCTCCGTATGAGTTGCCCCGTCAGTGGCCTGAGGCGCAGGTTGACGGCCCGCGGAGCGGTTCGAGACAGTGAGCTGCGGCACCTGCAGGGCGGTCGCTTCCAGCATGGTCTGGCACATCCAGAGGCTCGAGGCAAGGGGCAAACCATGGGCGGACATCGGAAGCGCGGGTAGATCACCGCCCCGCTGAGCTGGCGCCCGTCTGCGGCCCGGTTCAGCAACCGGGCAGCGCGAAGTAACGGCGAAACTGCGGCGGGAGTGGCATCGCGTAGAAGGCGTCGGCCAAGTCGACCTCAGCCATCGCGATGGGCTCGCCTCCGTCAAGGTGGGGACCTGCGAAGCTCGCGCCTGAAGCCAGGGCAACCTTGTCGGGGACCTGGAAGAGCAGGGATGTGTGTTTGCCGTCCAGGATGAGCCGTAACTTTCTTGATTTCTTAAAAACGAAGAAGAGACCCATGCTGCGGGACTTGTCAGCGCAGTAGTCGATGAGGTTCCGGCGATCAGGGACCCGCAGCAGCTGGACATGCAGCTCAGGGTTCCGGAGTGCCGGGTCGGTGCACAGCTTCCGCGGGCCTCCGGACTCAACGCGAGCCCGACCCTCGGACTGGGGCAACATCAGATCATGAAACCGCTCGGCTATCTTCGCGGCCAGCCCCCCCCCCCCCCCCAGCGCGTCAAGCGGCGCTGGCTTGAAGCCCTCGTCTGGGAGTGAGAGGCTGTTGATATTATCCAAGTCGAGCGGAGCGACCGTGGCACTCTCACTACACTAAGAACTCGGAGCTCCTCCAAGGACCCTGAGCCAGTCAGCCCCTCCGTGGGCCTGCCGAACCGCCGCGCAGCGTCTCGCGCGATGTCTAGGGCTCGCCGCTGACCCGCAGAGACTGACTGAGGGGGGCCATCCTCGCGGCAGGGCTGGCCAGCGCACAGCTCGTTGAGGGCGCGGACCACATCTGCCGCCGCGCAGTCGCCTGCGCGCCCTTGAAGTGCTCGTCGCCAGCAAGCGGCGGGCCACCGCTGCTGGGCCCTTCTCTCAAGACGCGTGGGCCACCGAGGGGAGGCGGCCCGCGCGGCGGCGCGCCCGTCGCGATCGCAAGGCCCGCTGCTCCTCGCGGGCCTTGCGCACTTGCTGCAGCGCCGAAGCGCCCCTCTCCGCCTCCTCTGCCACGTGCTCGAGGAGCAGAGGGCATGTCATGTTCTCGCCGCGGTCCTGGCTGAGACCAGTGAGGGCGGCGCTTTCATCGACGAAGCCGAAGCTGCGCGGGCTGCGACGGCCTCCCCCGCCACGGACGCGGCCCTTGGACTTTTTATTATTTTTCTTTTTTGTCGTCTCCATCGCCACCGCACTCGGCAGCGCCAAGGCCGCCGTGGTGAGGATCCCTGTCCATCACATCGGCGTACTCATACATTTGGCACTTCCGAACGATCTGCTCTACAGCTGCGATGTTCGGCAGATCGAGGCCGTCCCAACACGCCATCGTGTAGGTGGCTCCCATTCCCGCCTCGCTCACGCCGCAGTCGTCCGCCGCCATGTTCAGGGTGGACTTCCAAAGTCTGAAATAGTCCAGTGGTCCACCCTGCCTCCTGTCGATGCACTTGCAGCACCACAACATAGCGCGGGGCCCAGGGATGAGCCAATCCACGAAACTCTCCTCCGAGAAGGTGGCGACTGCGTCGCGCCACTGGCAGACCAGCCTCCCTCCAGGCACAACAGGATTCGCGAGGATCCCCAGCAGCCTGGCGCCCGAAGCGGCCTCCCGCCCAGCGTACTCCTGAATCGACCACGAGATCGTGCAGATGGCGGCCCGCGAGCCATCCGCCAGCGGCATCAGCCCCACGGGGCCCTTCAGCTCGGAGCCCGCAGGCGGGTTCACGACTGTCCCCCGCGCGCCAGCAGCGGTTGTGGTTGACTCTACGAGTGCCCACGCAGCCGCGGCACCAGCGCCAGCTGCCGCGCCCAGGGCAGGAAGTGCACCCGCTGCCGGCGCCGGGGCGGGCGCACCCAGTTCCTCACCAGCGGCACCCGCTGCAAGACCAGGTGCGGGACCCGCTCCAGCTGCCACCAGAGCCGCTGCCCGCGCCCCAACGCCGCCATCCGCCGCCACCAACCCTCCAGCAAGAGGTGCACCAGGGATCGCTCCCCCGAACATCAGCGGGATCAGCACACGCCCATCAGGTCCAGGAAGGCAAAGCCGTTGGCGATCTGCTGCCAGGGCCGATGAACAATAGTCTAGGGCCGTCTGGTCAATCAGCTGCTTCTCAGCCAATCAGTAGGAGTTCGCCGCACGAGCCCCAAGAGGATAGGACGCGCGATTTTCCGCGAATCGCACGGCTATGATGTCTGCGCCCTCGCAAGAGTAGCTTCCCTCGTAGATGTCCGTGTCGACGGTGCAGATCAGAACTACGAAGGGTGAGGCGTGATCAGTCGGCGCCCTCACCCGACGCCCCAAAATCAGCCGCTGGTGCCACAATGGCTCGCCTTCGTATCGAACCCATGCCCACTGGCGCATCTCCGGTGGCGCCGGTTCCGCCAGTGCCACGAGCTGAGCGGCCAGCATCGCGACGACGCCAGGCTAGGACGGCAGCTCCCCACGAGCCGTACAGGTATCACAACACCAGACCCACGAACAGCACCTCGTTCACCAGCACCACGATCCAGAACGACGAGGGTGCAGGCTCGTCCGATGCCTCCGCACTGGAGGGAAGCAGCGTCGCTGGCGCTGGCGATCCTCCCGGACACGCGGGACAGCCTGGGCACGGAGGGCAAGCCGCACAGCTCGGGAAAGCCGGCACGCCGGGATGGTCACTGACGGGCAGCGCTGCAGGTTGCCACCCCGAAGGTATGCCAGCCCAGCCTGCCAAGCGTACTGTGCCGCAGGCCAAACGAAATCCACTCGCACCGCCCGTTGCGAATTCTTGAGCCCAAAAAGGCCATGCTCCACATCCTGGAAGCGATGTACATCGACGGCCTGCTCTCTGACGCCAGAGGGGAAAGACGTGCACGCATCATATATGACAATCACATTTTGGGCGCACGCACTCGCCAATAATTCATGTTACGCGACGCTGCTCCTCAGCTCAGCGGCTGAAAGGGCGAGCCCGAACGGCTAAAGCAGCCCATGGTCGGCCAGAAACGGCTGCAAACATCACCGCGCAGTGCCCGTGCAAACAGTAGAAGCGAGGACACATATTCAGGGAGGGAGGAGGAGGGAGGACAAGGGGGGATCAGTGCGAACCACCACGAAAGGCTTGGATCAATGAATCGCCTGCTCGTCACCGAACGCCATGAAATCGATAGTCAGGGAGTCGGCGTGCCCAGGCCTTAGTGAAGAAACCAAGAAGCGGCTCAGAAACTCAAATGACCAGTGCCGCGGAGGCGATGCCGAGGAGGGAGGAGAAGGAGGCGGAGGAGGAGAGGGGAACGGGTGAGGCTCCAATGCAGACCGCGAGCCGAACTCCCAGCTGTTCCGCCCTGGTTCAGATTACACAGTTTCGACCCCAGGAGCGCTGGTGCAAGTCGAAGTGTCCACAGTTCTCGCCCTACTTGCCCACCCAGGCCTGGAGCTCCAACCGCGCTCACAGGACAGAGGCGCGCGGCTGCCGCGGAGGTGCAACTGCGCACAACACCCTGCGCTGCGCTATACAACACGGGGCCAGGAGGCGTGGGCAGGCAAATGATCAAATCCTGTTCAAATTGTTATGTATGTGTTTCTCATTGCGGCATTTCCGATGTGAGGTGCGTCCAAGCCTTCCCAAACTTACTCCCATGATCGCCCCAAAACGGCCCAAACAGCTTATGACACACCTCGCGAAACCTCAAACATAGCCAGAAGAGGTTCCACACAAACATCAGAGGTTTGTTGTTGTTGTTGTTATTGGAGGGCCAGCTTCGGCGCACCCCCGGAACGCCTGAGCGTGAGCCTAACTTTTAAAGGAAATGCAGCCCGCTCCGAGGCGAGAGCGCCAGGGCGCCTCTAGGGGGTCCAACAACAAGTCATCTAAAATTGTCGAGCACCCAAGAGTCACAAGCATCAACAAACATTTTAAGACTGTTCGCTCCGATCTGCTCACGTGTCACTGAATATGCATATCCCAAACCCAGGATACCCGCCATCTTCGTCTTCGATCGTATCCCTAGGAGGATATAGTCCTTCCCTGCCACGTGTACTCGTTCCCTGCCACGCGAGCGGGGGTTACAATGAGCAGACATGGGACCACACAGGGCAACAACGGGGCCACTGAGGGCAGCAACATGGCCATTAAGGGCAGCGAGGAGGACACGACGGGCGACAGCGAGACCACCAGGGGCAGCGAGGGAAGCACGGAAGGCGCGGGCGACCGGGGGCCACGAAGGGCTTACGTATACGGGGCCACAAAAGCCGCGACGGGGCCACTGATGGCAACAACGGGGCCACGAAAGGCAGCGAGGGGGTCACGAAGGGCGCGAGCGACCGGGGACCACGAAGGGCACACGCAGATGGGGCCACAAAGGGCAGCGCAGGGGCAACTGAAGCAGCAACGGGGCCACGAAGGGCAGCAGCGGGGCCACAGCGACAGTGGGGCCACGAAGGGCAACAAAGGGGGCCACGAAGGGCGCGAGCGACCCGGGGCCACGAAGGGCACACGTATATGGGGCCGCAAAGATAGGTAAATGGCTAGTGAAGGCACGAAGGGCAGCAACGGGGCCACAAAGGGCGACAGGGGGGGCACGAAGGGCAGCAATGGGGTCAGAAGGGCGCGGGCGAGCGGGGGCCACGAAGGGCATACGCACATGGGGCCACAACAATGACAGCGACGGGGCCACTGAGGGCAGCAACGTGGCCATTCAGGGCAGAGAGGGGGCCACAAATGGCGACAGCAAGGCCACGAAAGGCAGGGAGGGACATCGAAGGCGGGCGAACGGCACCGAAAGGCGACTGCGGGCCCCAACGGGCGGGTCGGGTGGGCGACCCAAACCTGCAGGTCTAGCGGGCGGGTCGCTGAAGCGTGAGTCCCGCATGATCAATCAGAAAATCCCAAGCGAGAACGCGATTCCCAAGTAAATCCGGAGGAAGTCCAAAGCGAGAGCGTGACTCCTGGGTGTCGAAGCGCGGCGTCCGAAACAAATGAGAGGTAATCCAAGCGAGAGCGCGACTCCTGTGAAATTTCCTGGGAAGTCTCGA